AGGATCATTGTTTACTATTTTGGTATGATGGCAGTTTTCAATAGCTCTCTTATTTTTCTCCTCAATAGACAACATTCCATTCAGCCTACCCCAAATTTCCTCTTTACTCACATTGGAGAGATTGTTCTGCATTCTCTTTTGCGCAGTCCCAAGTTATGCCGATGAAAGACCACACACAGTTCAGTCCTTTGGGGGTTTTTTTTTGCAGTTTTTGGCCGGGGCTGGGTTTGAACCCGCCACCTCCAGCATATGGGGCTGGCACATGGAGCCAGCACCCTACTCCTTTGAGCCACAGGCACCACCCCCACAGTTCGCTTCTGTTTGCACCAGTGGTTCATCAGAACTGTGTCAAGATTCCAAATTCATTTTCAGGTAATGCATAAGTCTCACCACTTGGAATTCTCTCAACCTTCTTTAATATGTCAGGGAAGATGCAGACTGGTGATTACTTATGGATGACCTAGTAGCACCATTCTACCAGGCCTTATGACCCTAGTCATTCTACTTCGTTCTTCAGTTTTTCCCAATCCTTTTAAACACATACATTGACCTTGACAATGCCAGCTTCTTATCTGTTTATGCTTGAGCAGCTTGTATTTATATGGTTATACAGTAAAAGTTCATCCACAACAAAACTCTTATAGAATCAGTGCTCTCAGGCAAGCGTTTGTTGGCTGGATTTCATAATGCTTACTTTTAATTACCATTTGAATCCCTTATTTTAAGCAACCGCTATTAAAAATCTTTCTAACATGGAAAACATGTTTCCTTGCCTTCTTTAGTATATTTTGTTAAAATTTAAATTTTAAACATTGGCTTGAAGTCATAATGAACAACAATAATTACTGGAAGTAACACAAAGGAGCATCAAAAGCACAGCGTTTGGTCAAGTCCAGGGCTCAAGGGCCTAATTCATCAAGTTACTTAGGACGCTCTGAGCCTTGGATTGCACACCCACAACATAAGAATAAGAACACATTTTTCATGGGGTTGTTGGGATGACTGAGTTAGATTATTAGCAGCACGCAAACAGTTTAAGTCTGTGCC